AAAGCTGGGGCAGAAACCATAGAAGCCAGAGTGTGATTACCGCCTGCACTGAGGAGACCTTTTTGTGTGGTTTGGCTTATTTTGAGCAAGGTTTTTTTCGGATCGGATAAGATGAGTTTTATTGTCATGTAAATATGGTTGTGTAAATATGCAGTAATTGTAGCTAATCTGTCAACTGGTGTGCTATGGAAAGCACCCCTGGTGAGATTGGCTATTTCCAGTTGTTCTCGTAATGAATATGCTCCATATGAGGACTTCTGTAGGAAAGGCTATTTTAGTTTGATGGTTGTGAGATAGATACCTCATTCATATATTTATCTTTAAATACCTCTAAGGAATATAAATGCCTTTATGTATTTTGAATATAAAGCTTAAAAGAAAAAAATTCCTTTTCTCATTTCTAACTGGCTTAGTGCTAATTTCAGCCTGTATTCTGTAGCTGAAGTGATCACAAAATGCCTTCTGCGCTGTGGGAAACCCATACAACAAGCTGTAAGTATCTGGCCCTTATTTTTGTAGGATAGGGGCACAGAGTAGGAAGAGAAAAGGTTACTATTTTTACTTCTCAGTATTTGCCCCATTGATTTAAAATATGAATTTATAATTTTAGCTAGAAATGTTGAAATGCTTCAGTGTTAATTTCTGAACTTCTTTGTTTTTTCAGAAAATAGGTTGGTTCTATTTTCTGAGTTTCGTGAAATGTGAGGTTTTGTGTTTGTGTATGTGTTTATTTTAAAAAGTTCTTAAATGTATTTAATGTGGACTATAAATCTGAAGCATTTGATTTTTTTTGGTTTTTAGCCAAACAAGCAATTACACATGAGATGGTTTTGAGGGGTCTAAGCAGCCATGGCCAGGTAAAAACCTGCACCTCTCTTCTGAGCTGGCCACAGCACAAGAAAAGCACAAAGGAATGCCTACATTCACAGTTTGGGGAGCGCCACCAAAATTGAATAAACAGCCTTTGTTTGGAAACCATCAATGAAGGAAGGAACCCACTGGAATGTTTGTAATTACAAGTGGCACCTCCTTGTTTAAATTTCAGAAGCCACAGTTTCTTTTTCAGAGATTTAAATTGCAGGCTCTAGACAGCAGCTGCTGTTGTGGTTAATGGGCAGTTTCTCTTTGAAGATCTTCCAGTGCTGGTTCTCAAAAGCTTTGGTGCAGTTGGCCTTGAACTAGTGTTAGAAGAAAGGGAGAGGGAGGTATTTATATACTTGCAAAAGCGATGTGTGGCCTTTATCATTACTCAAAAAAGAAACTTGGCTGTAAGGTTGAGAGAAAGTAGGTACTAAGAAAATCTGTTATGATTGACAGATGTCTTGAATCTCTTGAGAGTTGTGGGGTGGGGAAAATTTTTTCTTTTAGTAGATGTTTTACTGGAATATAGTCATTTGACCCAACATTTTGATCTAGATATTTCAGAAATGTTAAATAGGTTGAAATGAAAGTGCTGTGATATATATTTAAATGCTACTCAGTGTTTGAAGTTGATATTCTAGTGACATGGACTTTTGAAAATGCCTGGAATAAGTATCTTGCTCCTGGCAGCCTTCTTTGGTAAGGTAGGCGTTCTAATTCCTCTCTAGCTATCCAGTACTAGACTGCTATGTCAAGTTGGAATTAAGTTATGAGGTCCCTGAAGGGGGAGGGGAGGAATCTGCCTGAAAACAGAGAGTTCACCTGCCCTGTATCTCTTATTGTCTGTACCATATCTTTACTTGGCTAGGATTAACCTAAAAGTTAACATGTCAGAAATTGAATCTTTCATCTTTTCTGTCATAGGTGTCAACTTTTCTCACAGTCAGCATTATTGCATATGACACCATTGTCATCCTGGTCTCTAAGGCCCCTAAATTTGGAGTCTTTTTTTTCCCCTCTTTAGCTTTCACTCTTGGAGTGAAATAAAATGGGCTGATTGTTTCTCCACGACATTCTCTGGAAGCCTCAATGTCCTTCTTCTCCAGACTGTTTTACTAGCAGAAGATTCCTAGCCGATTCTCTTGACCCACGCTCTGCTAGTCAGAATATAAATCTACCTACCTCAATTTTAATTCTTTCTGGACAGGATCACGACCCCTCCCTTACAGAAAATCTAATCTCAAATTCTTGGCTTCTTGCATGGGATTCAAAATCCACGCTGTTTTGTCTAGGTTGTTCCTTCCTCAACTGCTGCCTCACTCTCTCTCTAATTGCCCTCATTTCTTATTACTTTTCAGCCCAATCCTGATGGGACTGGAAGACTGATGATTCTCCAGTGAAACAGAGGAAGAAAGTGGTTCCACTGATCAGTCTTCACCTGGTTGCCTTTGCATAAAACTGCTCTTATCTGTGTATATCTTAACTGTTTTGCTCTATAGGTATAGGACAGCTGATTCTCCTTTACTTACAAATAAACATCTTTCCTTTGCACCTTTCAGTTTAACTAACACATACTTATTTAAAACATACTCCAACATAGATATTTCTTTTTATGTTTTTCAGATATCTATATAGATATATAGATATCTATATATATCTATATATCTATATATGTATATCTGTTTCTTTATGGTAAGCCAAAGTGTATAGATATTATGGCCATTATTTTAATGAAAATTTTAAACTTTAGAATGCTGAAAGTGCATTCATCACATCTTTTTGGTGGTCCATGTTTGAATAAGGGCAGATTACAAGCTGACAAAGTAAGACTTTTCAGACAAAAAGGTAAGTCCTTTAGGAGTCGGAAGTTCAGAAGAGTCAGGAGCTCTTGATTTGCCATACATGAGATTAGCCCCTCTGAAGATGACCCCAAATAGGTCACCTTTACGGAGTGTTCAGTGCTCACGTTTCATATGTCTCATTACTAAGAAGTACCTGCCTGGTGAGCCAGAAAGGAAGTGAGCTAAAACCCAGGCCTTTATTAGCCAGAGTTTTCAATAGGTTGGACTTTGGGAGCAGTGCTACCTATCTAAATACAGTCATCTCCAGCATCATGGCAGAACCCATTTTAGTTGATAACATTGTGGGTGAATTGTCACTGGCTTAAGAAAAAAAAAAAAAAAAAAAAAAGGAAACATTTATTCTCAGTCTAACTGCTAATCTTGTTATCTTAAGAATCTTCAAAGCCTTTATCTGGTAATAATATCTGCTGTAGTTCTTCCCTTACTTTTTTCCTTGTCTGGCATCCTTCCTCTTCAGGTTCAGTTTTTGCTAGTAGAAGGTTATGTAGTATGATAATTCAGCGACATGAAAACTTGATTATTCTGGAGTAAAAAGGTGTTATGAAAAATGTAGTATGTATTTGGCTCTTTGCTGAATATGCCTATGGTAAGCCAAGCCACCCAGATCTTACTACAAGTCATCAGTTTGTTTCTCTTTTCTGAATAGGAAAGGAACATTGCTTCATTTCTCTTGCAGAAACACTTAAACAACAAAAACTTCAAAGATAGGGAGAAAAAAACCCAAGTTAATTTAGTACTAAATTACTGCTCAAATAGTTTTATCTCTTAAAAGATTCAAGTAGAGATTAGCTTAAATGACACTGAACTTCACTTTTCCTTGTGCATATCTTGTGAGCACCCATCCTTGTAAAGAGACCTCTGTTTTCTTTCTGTAGTTTGGTTAGTAATCATGTGAATGTTAGTTGCTGTTCCTTTCCATTTTTTGAAGCAAATCTCTCTATCTCTGAGCCAGGTTGGCTAACGGAATACCCAGTTTAGGTTACAGAATGTTAAAACCTTGTGCTTTACCTGTGAGTTAGGAACGGCAAAAACAACGTACCTTACAGGGTGTTAAAAATAAAATAAGATCATATATATAAACGTACTTGAAAAGGAAATATTGCATATAGGTATATGTGTATGTATATATGTACATACCCACACACACACACTCACACACACATCTGGCTTTTATTAAAATAGACACTGCTTAAAGATGAGGGATATGTCTCTGGCTACTACTAGCACTACTAATCACATTTGTAAGTAAGTCCCTCACATGTTTGAGAATACTAAAAAAATGAATACAGTGCTGGAAAGATTAATTCAAGATGAACTCGACTGTCTCTAAGGTAAAGCTGAAGAACAACCTGGAGTTGAATGTTTTTTGGAAGTAAGTGGAATTGTCCAGTACTTTAGAGAAACTGACAGTGATTATAATCTTAAATTTCCGGGACTTTTAACATAGGTAGGGCTTTATTATTTTATCTAGTCTCCTATATTTTATATGCTATATTTAAATAAAGAACTTGTATTTCTGTAGGTAACCGATAAGTCACTTGGTAGAAAAATGAGAATTTAAAAATGATTTTTAAATTGAGCATCTGCTTTTATGTCATTTTACTTTGTTAGGCGCATTAGCTGTCTTCCAGAAGGTTATAGTCTAATTCCTTTTCAACTTTTATTTTGAAAAATTTGAAAACCACAGGAAAGTAGAAAGGAAAGTACAATGAATGCTTCTGCACTCCTTCCTTAATTTCAACTGTTAACATTCTGCCCATTTGCTTTATCTCTAGCTCTCTAAATAATGTGAACACACATATTTGTATTTTTTCTGAACCGCATGAAAGCAAGTTGCAGGCATAGTGACATGACACTTCAGTTCATAACTCTTGAGAATAAGGACATTTACTTACGAAACCTCAGTACCATTATTACATTCAAGAAATTTAACATTGATTCAGTATTATTATCTAATATCTAGTCCATATTGAGATTTCTCTAGTTGTTCCATTAAGTATTCTTTATGTTTCTTTGTCCTCCGTTATCTAGAGTCTATCGGGTCACGCATTTGATTTGGTTTTCATGTCTCTTT